AGTATTAAATAACCACCTGAAGCAATACTTTTTCTTGTAAATAAACGAAGAAAAACACTAAAATCGCCAAGTATTTGTGTTGCTTGACTGAAATGTAGACGTTTTGCATACGCTAATTATAGAACTACAATGTAATTTCATCCCGGCAAGCGGGACGAAATACTCCATATGAACGCACGGAAATATTCGTCTCGGTAAGCGAGACGTCCCGGTAAGCGGGATCATATGAACAGGCCCTTAGAAAGTAGTCCCGTCAGATCGATTAACATACTAACAAACATAGAAAAATTTACTTGTCAGGAAAATAGTTAGACGTAAAATATTAAAGTGTAAAATTTTATTTTAAGATGCAGCAAAAATTTCTTACAAATGAACGAAACCGTAAAAATCATATGAAAGGAGTGATCAATAAACAACAAGAACGCGAAAGAAAGGCGAAGAAAGTTCGTGAAAAATTGTATGTTGAATTGGAAGGAAGTATCGTCCATGTTGATGAAACATACAGTAGTGAGGGGAATTCTGAAGGTAAGTTCTGAGATCATGCATAACTTGTCTCATTTCGCTTGAGTCGCATGCGAGAGTGGCTGCATGACTCTAGCAAAAGCAACTTGTTTTCTCGAATCCCCACCTAATTCAAATGTATTTGATAAGAAAATTGCACCCCTTTTTGCCAAGAGGTAAATCCATCCCTGAATCCGTACAATTCCGGTGTGAACAGGATGATGTACAATTGTGTGACGTATTGAACTCTCTTACTAGATGAAGATTGGGGTGGTGAGCAACAAGACGAGAGGTCTGGTACACAGGCTGAAGATTCCACAGATGAATTTTATGAAAGCAGCGCAGGTAGAGCACATCTTTACAATATTCACAACTCTTCAAAAGATTTCGTATTTTTATAGTCAATATTTGCTCTCACATGACTTTAATCACAAGGATTGCCTTAGACACAAGTCCGCCTCAGAATTTGTTCCCAATTTTGGGGATTGAAAAGGACAAGCGAAGTCCAAGAGTTGCTTACGGAAGAGACGGCTTCACGGCTAATTGAAGCCAATTCTCTGCATGAGAAACTGACACAACTGAGTAATAATGGAATATATATCACTCGTCAGAATGTATATAGAGTATTATTTACTGGACAGACTATTTATTACATTGGAATTATTGAATAATATTGTAAAAGACAATATTTTTTCCCATAGTTTGCTCTTATTCCTGCGTGCAGATTTATTTCTGCGCGCAGATTTATTCCTGCGCGCAGATTTATTCCTGCGTGCAGATTTATTCCTGCGTGCAGATTTATTCCTGCGTGCAGATTTATGTCTGCGCGCAGATTTATTCCTGCGTGCAGATTTATTCCTGCGTGCAGATTTATTCCTGCGTGCAGATTTATTCCTGCGTGCAGATTTATTCCTGCGTGCAGATTTATTCCTGCGTGCAGATTTATTCCTGCGTGCAGATTTATTCCTGCGTGCAGATTTATTCCTGCATGCAGATTTATTCCTGCATGCAGATTTATTCCTGCGTGCAGATTTATTCCTGCGTGCAGATTTATTCCTGCGTGCAGATTTATTCCTGCGTGCAGATTTATTCCTGCGTGCAGATTTATTCCTGCGTGCAGATTTATTCCTGCGTGCAGATTTATTTCTGCGTGCAGATTTATTCCTGCGTGCAGATTTATTCCTGCGTGCAGATTTATTTCTGCGTGCAGATTTATTCCTGCGTTCAGATTTATTCCTGCGTGCAGATTTATTCCTGATAAGGGATTTAATCGCATATTTTTCACCGATGAGGGATTACCCTTACCAGACGTCCAGGGAGTGTTGTAGGGCTGTCCAGTGGAAATAAACTTTAGGCTTCTTCGTGTTTTAGTACCGTGAAAAGAAGTCGTGCGACCCAGTTCGTGACCGTGCCAGTCGAAATCGTGAGGAATTCAAGATGCTCATGCGTGAAATGTTGCACCAGATGCCGCCTGATATCTGTCTAAACGCGTTGTGTGTAGAAAAAACGTTGACGTAAGTTGTAAAATGTATTGGAACTAGACTACTCGTATGGGACTTGAATTTATTGGACCTAGCCTATTCGTATGGGACTGTGAGCGGGCTATCTTTTTTAACTTGAATTTATTATGCATAAACTCAGATCAGAATGACCCGAGAATGATATAGTTTCTTGAATTATTTTATCCAGGTTGCTTCTAAAGCAATGGAAAAGCTGCCAAAATCCAGCATTTAGTAGTAAGTATGGTAGTTAGGGCCGTTGGTATAGTATATGGTAGTTAGGGCCGTTAGTATAGCAAGCGTGTAGCAGATTGTCAACTTCAGAAAGGTTGACCATCATCTACTGCACAACAGTGTTGAGTGAAATCCATCATTGTTAAAATGTCGTTCTGAAGTACATTTGAAGTGTTGTTACTCCGGCAATTAATGAGAAGTATATTTGCTAATATTTTTCAGAGAAGTTTGAAGACATTGGTTGCAGTACGTTCTACATGTTCATCGATATGGTTTCCGATTCCGTGCGACAGTTTCCTCCAACAATGCAGTTTTTCTCAACTTGTGTTGAGCTACTTGGGAAGGTACGCACGATTTCCTGATACCTAGTGCAACCATACCACATCATACTACAATATACATACATTATTATACCATGCCATACCATACCATACCATACATACTGCATCCTCCATCATACCATACTTTATCATATTATACTATACACTATAATACCATATGATACTATACTGTACCATACCACACCATGGTCCATAGACTCCATACCGTATAATAACATTCTTGACATTACCTAGCATTCCATTTCCTGTTTTTCTTTTTTTTCTTTTGTTAATTAAGCCTTATTTCCACACAGGAAATTTTTCGGCGGAAAGAAAATTTTGCAGAATGTGATTGGCTTGGCCGACACAAATTTTCCGTCGGAAAAAAATTTTGAAGTTGAAAAAAAATTTGAAGTTGAAAATTTTCAACTTTTGACAATGATATTTTCGGAAATTTTTCTGTCCGTGGAAATTTTTCTTGAGTGGAAATGGGCCTTTATCGTAAAACTACATAAGCATTGAGTTACGAATCTTTCTCTTTAAACATTTGTTTTTCAATTCTCAGACTTTTATCATGGAGAACCGTACTCAAACAGAAGTTTTGTTGCGAACAATCCTGGCTCGTCCTAAAATCGTTGGTTTGCTATTACCAATATTTCAACCTAGCACATGTGAGGACAGTTTCACGGAAATGTACGAGAATGTTATTCAGACGAATTTGGACGTCGAAGTCAAGTTTTCACTCCTTTCCAAGGTATATGCATCTGTACAAGGTATAAAATTTTCACAATTTTTGAAAAAAAAAATAGAAAAAATTCTCAGAAATTTGAATAAAAAAATTTCAGAAATTCTCAGAAAATTAAGAAAGTCTCGGAAGATTTAAACATTTTTTGTGCCTGAAGGTTTGTGATAAAAAATAGCAGGATTGAATAGGAAGTAATAGAGAGGATGGAATAGTATAGAATAGAATAGAATGAAATAGAATTGAAGAAATAGAAGAGATGGGATGAAATAGAAATGAAATAAAACAGACTGGAATGGGATGTTTTTGTGTTGTTATAGTTTGATTTCCGAAGTTGGCTCGTATCAAAACCGACTCTCTCCGAACGTATGGCGATGATGAAAGTATTGTTTGCTGCTCTTTGTGATTGTGGACTGGAGCCTCCGGTCAAGACTACCATGTTATCAGAAGTACGATTCCCTGTTTTTACCAGTAAATGACTTGCATAACATGTCCAGCCTCAACAATCTTCACATCACATTTATCAAAACTTGCAACATGTGCTATACCATACAGACTTAATATATGAAACATATGTATAGTTTTACTGCATATTATTTTAAATGAAATGAGACCGTTAATATTTTTTTAGATTTACCTCAGAAAGGTGAACGTGCTTCTCTTGTATCAGTTTCCTGACT